TAGAGATTTTCTATTTAAACCCCACACTTCTCTTAGTTCACCCCATTTTCTAAGTTCACCCCATCTTTTATTTTAGGGTTATTCGTAGCAATGGTCCCTCAACTATACCTGTATTTACACTTTGGTCCCTCAATTCAATTATTAGTTGTAGGGGTCACTCAACTAGGTGCTATGTTGCACCAGTAGTCTCTCCGTCAAACTCTGTTAAATTTTCTGTCAAAAGTAAGGGTAAATTCGGAAATTTATCCACAACCCTCCATTGTCAGCAAATCAAGTCCAAATGACCCATTTCATCAGTTAAGACGCAGGTGATGCGTGCGTGTAGGATCAATTGGAACTCCAACAACATATAAATCCGTCAATTCAATTATTAGTTGCAGGGGTCACTCAACTAGGTGCTATGTTGCACCAGTAGTCCCTCCGTCAAACTCTGTTAATTTTTCTGTCAAAAATTGCATATCACCTTTTTCCCACAAAAACTGCATATCACCTTTTCTTTTTAGCACAGAAACTAATGAATTCTGCAAGAACAGCTTTTTCATCAAAAACCCACTCGATTGTGAGTCCATTCCCATCCCCCAACTCCATCAATTGTTGGGTTGCAACTTCAGCCAACGTATCCAAGGAAGAAGAAGAAGAAGATGATGATGATGAAAATACCCTTTTGTTTTGCTTGACCATGGCCTTCTAAGGAATCAAACACCCATCAAATCCATATCCACGAAGTGGGTTGCAGCAAGAATTTCTCATAGCCATGGCCATGGCCTTCTTAACATCATCTTTCTTCCAATTTTTGACGATAACAAAAACCTCAGAGAGAAGATTCAACGAATCTGGTTGGGCCGAAGAGAGAGAGGGGTTGTGCTGAGGATGAATCTGGTTGTTCTGGGAAGAGGTTTTTGGATTGATAGAGATAGAGAGAGAAGGTGGATTTGGGCAGTGGCTATGGCGGATCTGGGCTGGGTGGATGAGAGTGAGAAGGGTGGTGGCTGAGTGGTGGTTCGCGGGAGACGTGGCAAACGTGGTTGTTTTGGTGGTGGCTATGGCGGATTTGTGTTGTCGATGAAGTTTCTGATTTGGGTTTACTCCAATTAGGGTTTTTTTTTTCCCGTATTGGTTTCTTCAATTTTGTGATTGCTTTTGGGTTTTTTATGTGGGTTCGTTTATATTTGTAATCACGAATAGGGTTTTTCAACTTTGATTTGGGGTTCTCCAATGAGCCTGTAAATCTGGATGCTTGGGCCCGACAATGGAGATGGCTGCACCTTGAAGGGCAGAACAATTCCATGGAGTAGAATCAATTGATGGTCTGTTCAGAGCTCAAAAATGGAGGGTTGTGGATAAATTTCCGAATTTACCCTCACTTTTGACAGAAAATTTAACAGAGTTTGACGGAGGGACTACTGGTGCAACATAACACCTAGTTGAGTGACCCATGCAACTAATAATTGAATTGAGGGACCAAAGTGTAAATATGGGTATAGTTGAGGGACCATTGCTGCGAATAACCCTTTAATTTAAATTTTCACAATTTCTAAGAAAACCCCACTATCTTCCCAAACTACCCTTAAATACACTCCAAACTGAAAAAATAAGAAATAAAAGAGATTTTCTATTTAAACCCCACAATTTTCTTTGTTCCCAACAAAAAAAACACAAACAAATAGAACCCTAAACTCGAAATTTAATACTTTCTAGTGAAAGAGAACAACTTTACCTCTCTTCAAGAACTGTAACTGGAATTCCAACACTTGGGTATTGTTGAGTTGATAATCAACAAGCCTTTCCATCAACTCCCACGCATATTTAAAGAGGTAGGCTCGTCAATTTTCTATGTCTTTAAAAAGAGAAGAGTAATCTGTCAATAGGATGTAGAGGAGTTTGTATTTTTCTAAAACTTGATATGAAGAGTGGTGGGGTGTGTGTATAAATGTACTAGGGTTAATTATTAAGTTGGATGACCTTTTTTGTCTTTTTACACAATAATAAAACTTACAACTTAATGATTTAAGTATTGGAGTGAACAAAGAGAAGTGCAGTGTTTAAATAGAAAATCTATTTTTTTATGATGTAATTTGGTTTACCCTTTTTTTGTTTTTTTGGGTTTATGTTATGTTAGTTTTTTTATGAACATTTTAACCTGAAAAATTAAAATTTGGACAAGATTCCTAACACATTTTATTTAATAACATTAACGCAAAACACAAATAAGCTTCGTCTTTATGTCTATTCAGCCACATCTCAGCTACTTTGTCAAGCTATAAGGCCTTCGCTATAGAATTACCTTGAATTTTTTTGCCTGCCTCTATTTTGTCCAGCCCCATGGTGGTTGAGCCTTGGGTCTAGCCCCTATTTTCCCATAAACTATTCCCTATAAAATGAGACTAAAAAAAAGAAAAAAAATTAAGAGGTGCATTAACATGACGACCGTCTTTGAATTCCAATCCTGAAAATGATTAGGTCAAAAATCCTATGTTACAAAAGGAAAAAAGAAATACGGTTAACTAATTCAGAGGTTGGGAATCCATGCTCGGTGAACTGCTAACCTGCTGTTACGTGCTACGTACACAAATACTTATCAACGAATAAGCAAGTATATCACCAACTATATGTAATAAAATTTTCTTTCCAATGTTGAATGAAATATTTCTCAAATCCCCCTATCATTGATTAAAAAGAAAAGTGTATCCTTATCCTGTGAAAAAAGTAAGCATATCAAAACAGAAGAAAATTACCACTTCGCAGCTAAGCCAAAGTTCAGAATTATTACACAACTAAGATAAAAGGCAACATAGAAGTTAGTGAGGAAAACCTGCAATGGATTATATACATTATCTTTGTAACTTATATTATCAAATTTTCTCAAATATATGTACAAAAGGAGAGTGGACGCCAAAAAGTTAATTCTTTCAGCCATATCACATGAAACCATGATCGCTCGAAAACCAAAATGCTGTACATATATCCAGAAAGACAGCAGATGCATTTTTGGACTACATGTGAGACTTACTACCTTGCCCTAGTAACAAATTTTTCATCTCCCTGTAACTTTGGAGCTCTTCTAATGCAACAGTGGTAGTTTTTGATGTAATGAGCCCTGAGGAAATGACGCTTGAAGAATCATCACGCTGAACTGAAGCCTGTCCCTTAGAAGGCTGATTAGGCTCTTGGCTACTGTTGCTCCAGATTTCGGGCCTGCAGGCCTGTGAAAATTTTACTGAATTTGAGTTATCCTGGCGGAGAGGTGGAGCTTTTCTTAACATTCGTACAAGCGCACCAACAGCAGCATCTTGGGATTTTTTAATTGGAAACAACCCTCCAGGCACATGTGGCTCACACAGAGGTACATTTTTGTCAAAAGATTCAGGTCTGAGATGCAGCACAAAGATAAGGTCACATCACATTAGCAAACCAAATTAATAGATTTGAAAGCAGCAAATGGATATCATTAGCAAAACAAGAGAATCTAAAAGAATGCCCCACATTAACTCTATGATCACAAAGACACCAGAAGCAGAGAACAAAGTGGCTCACACATAACCTAAAGAAACCTTATTTCAGCAAAAATAACCTTACAAATGGTTTAATGTGCATGATGATTTTGAAGCTTGAGATTGACTACTTGTAGCTCCATGACTAATATTCACATGCTCTTATGAATTGATGAGTATACAAAAGATGACTCCTTGTAGTTCCATGCATAAAGAATAACACTTGAATTTATGGAAAAAGCTTTCTACTGATAAGGGGAAGGAAAATCCTACATAGATCACATCCTTCCCGAACAAAAACAACATTATTTCCAACAGTTGCATCAATTAGTTAGGAATATCTCACAAATATATGTACATGGAGAGAGAGAGAGAGAGAGAGAGAGAGAGTTTAAGTCGTTTTTCTTTTTCATTTGGTTTAATATACTAAAACTGTCATGCACAGAGAAAGTGTGGTATATGGATCGGAGTGAATCGGTTTAGGATGTAATTAATATTTTTACATAGCGAGAGTTTACTTTTAATGATATTAATGATATTAAAATTCAACAATCAAAATTCCTAAGCTCATGCACTTACAAGAAACTAATTCTGAGTTTCCAATACTATCACTTACCATTGGTTGTATATATAATACCACAATCTACAGAATCAGTCTGTCTTCTTAATGAGTGTTGTATGAGTACAACTTCAGGTCTTCAACCTTATCCCATCCCTAAAATTTGAATTTTGAACTAAACAATACCCTCTATATATTTTTTACTTTCGCAGAAAAAAGAAGAAGAAAAAGATGCCCATTATGCAACCAATCGCCAACAGGTCACCTATTTAGGCTATTCCTAAGTCATTTCAATCGTAAACGATCATTTAATTTTCAGAAGCGGCGGTTTTGTGGTGCTCATCTCAAATCATCGAAGGGCATGGAAATATTTCAGAAGACGTAGGGAAGGTCAGCGCTATTAGGTGGTTTCTAAATGTTTCTCTATCTCACCCATTTGGAGCAAATATCTTACACAATAGTGTAACAGAAATCAGTTAATCCACATATAATTTATGGAAAGAAGATTTTTAGTATTCAGTGTTTCTAACCTGTGCCCAACATAGGATGCCGGTTTTCAGAAAATTGAATTTGCAAAACAGAATGAAGTCCTATGGCTAAATCTTATAAGTTCAGTTAACAAATAGCTAACAACAAATCATGTTTTGTACTCCATAGCACACATTTCTACTGCAAACGGCAATATCAAGCCCTCTGGGTGAAAAGGAGTGTAATGCACAACAATTAAGGTGGATCCCTCCTGCATTGAGAAAGCATATTGTATTTATTGCTCATATGGCCCAAATCACCTCATGGACATCTACTAACATGGGTGCCCCGGAATCTACTAAGCATGGTAGAGCACATTAGATGCTGTGTGTCAACTGTGAGTTACTCATCTGTTAAGTTTAAAACCAACTAACCAAAAGAAAAGAAATAATACATCTTGTAGAATGTTCCTTTGTTATTTCTGACTAATCAATCTCACATTACTTTGCCTGTACAAAACATGTTGACAGCGCAACTACCCTACCCTTCCTTGCTCCCTTACAATTTTGGAGTATATTTCACATAACAACCAACCCTTTGCTTCACTTACAAATTATTTCTAAAAACAAAAAACAACACTAACTGCACAGAGATACTAACAAGTAGGAGAAAGCAAGTAGAACAGCTTATGCAAAATACTTGCAGAAACAAAAGTAATTTACATATACTAGATTCACTTGATGAACTTTGCATCTTACCTGCTACCTGGATCTGTCACATCCTCATCATCCACATCAAATGGGCACGGAAAGTCAGAATCATCCAAATCGTCAGGGAAAGACCTACTGGAGCTGCTGGATGATATTTTAACCTCAGAGTATTGTCTAGCATCATCTTTCCCAAGGGAGGAAAACTACAGTTCAAAATTGGAAAAAGAAAAAACCTTAAATAAAGAAAATGAAAATTCAAATGAAAATCTCACCATGATGAGCAAATACAATACCTTCTCAACCGCAGTACCAGCCTCCATAAAACCCCTAGTTTTATCAGTCTTAGAACTGCCAGATCCAATACCTCTAAGAGGCAAATTTAGCTTGTTGCAGAATGCAGGGGAATTAGCAAGTTTAGCCGTCTGTTCACTGAATGGTGCGCTCTCAGATTGTAAAAGAGGCTTTGAATGATGACTCCCAGGAATAAAGATTGGCAATGATGGAGAGGCAGACGATGGTGAGGGTGAAAAGGCAGGCGAATACTCATCAAAGCTTGTATCCTTCTTATAAACAAGAGATGTTTCAGGTGGATAAGGTGGCATGATTGTAGGTGGGAAACGAGAACTTTGGTTAGAAATTAAAGCATGTGGTTCTGAATATGTAGGTGAAGGTGAGAAGGAAACTGAAGGTGGTGAAGCTCTATAATGGTCAAAACTCCAACTATGTCGCCTTGAGAATGAGGAAGATGGTGGAAAGGCATGTGCTACTGATCCTGTCACAGGAAGTGATGGGAACCTTTTAAGTGGGTCTGTCAATGGGCTGCCAACATAGTCCGGAATAAATTGTGGAGACATAGGAGTTGATGATTCAGAGCTTACATCTGAAAGTGATGAACAATACAACACTGAAAGGCAAAGCCTGCCACAAGCCGTATCCACAGGGGTGAACCCAAACCGCTGCATTGCTGCCTCTTCTCTACAAGTGAAGGGCTCAGCAAAAGAGGCTACTCGGTGAGTAAGAGCAAATGGCCGAATTTGGCCCGACGAATTGAGGTCGCGATAAACTTTGTAAGCAGGTAAAAGCCTAACAGTGACATACAAAGACCTCAAAAGTAACATCGACTTCTTATACAATGAATGTAAAGTATTACTGCTCGACCTCCTGCTCCCTGAATTTGTATCTCTAATCTTCCGACTGTCATACTGCACTACCCATCTCTCTATAATCTTTTCACTCTTTGCCTCACACCCAAATTCCTCCTGCTCATAATTCCAACAGTATGGATACCGCTCTTTCAATGAAAAGTTCCTAACAAGATCCCTTTTAGGTGAACACTTCAAGGGCTCACAATCAAGTGGTCTCTGGACCAAAATCACATCAACCACCATAGGTTCAAGATGGCTCTGGCGCCAGAGATCAAGATTCTCCAGTGCAGCAGGACATTCCCTTAGAGCTAAATTAAACCACTTATCCCTCGGCCTCACACTCGATGAGGATGATGAGGATGATGATGGCGATGATAGGGCTTGTTCACCACTAAAATTACGCGAGGACATGTATGGAGTCCTAGATTCAAGGATGATGTGGAGACTTTTGGCATAGAATTCAGTGATTATTTGTTCCATTTTTGCTGCTTCAGAGTGGGAATTACCATGAGAAGATGCCATAATGTCAAAATTTAAATAACTGGCACGTACTCTTCAAGAAACAAATGGAGCTGGAACTATCAGTCTCCACTTTAAAGCATTTAACTGCAAAACACCGCAAGCAGAGAGTTCAAAGGTCTTCCAAAGAGAAAACCCATGAGTTAACAAACTGGATACAACTTAAGAAAATTAAAGCAGCCTGAATTGACAGCAGATATACAACATGCGTACTTCATGGAAATTTCGGCTGAATTCACAGTTACAACACAGAGATGTGGTGTTGGTACAATGATTAATAACCCCAAATGATTAGCAGAGAATATAATAACCCATTCAAATATACGAAGGAAACTATTAAAACGAAAGATAAATGCGAAATTAAAGAAAGACCACGCAAAGACGCAGAGTTCCAACTTAAAATTCAGAAAAATGAGGTAAAGTCGCCGTCTTCCAGCTCCTTGTTCAGCAAGAAACACGTTTGGCTACATGGGTTTTACTTTCTTACTATTTTCTTGCCTTTTTCCATTCAGTTTCTGGAACTAAGAATATTTTCCGCGAAATTGAAGAAACCCTAAAGAGGAGGAAGAACAAAACCCAGCGTATGCACATCAATATGAGGAGAGAGAGAGTATTAGCTGACTCACCAATTAGCCGGAGAGAAAAGAGAGACCGAGAGAGATACAGAGTATGTTAGTGTATTGTAGTTGTAGAGAGAACTTGTTCAATACCAGTTTATTTATTTATTCTTAAATTCGTATTATTGGATCTTTGGAGTTTTGAGGTCTTATCTGCTTGCACAAATGCTAAGGTACTTTCTCATCAAAAGTAAAGTAAGTGGGTCCCTGTGGGCCCCAGTGGGCTGGAGCATCAAAATCCTGGCCTGATTTTGCCACGTCATCCTTAAGCCCACGGAAGAATTTTGGTAGGTTAACTAAGATGAGGAAGCATTGAATGTGAAACGGGTCTGAGTTCTAATGTCCTCTGGAGGAGACAAGAAAGAGCAAGAGTGGGTTTGGCACAACAGTTCATTTGGATTTGAAATTCTAGCCACAAAGCCAATTCTGGGTCTGGAAATGCAGTTTCTGGTAAATTTGGGTAATTGGAGCCTTGTTGGAGTGCAAATTGCTTGAGCTTCAAACATATTTGAATTTTTGGTGTTTCCAGGAAAACCCTTTTCCGAATTAAACTGTTTGGTAATTCAAAGACAAGATTTTGATAGGTTGAGCAAGGTGGGCTTCAGCTAGCCTGCACTCTGTTTCACTCTGCAGTAAAAAAAAACAGTACCTACACAATTTCTCCATAAATACTAAAATATTAATCGGTGGTAAGTGAAACGATCAGTTAGTTTGCTCACACACTAAAAGGCGATATAAAAGGACAATGTTGATGATGAGGGTAATGATGTGAGAGAGACGCAAAGTCACTCCACGTGGATGTTCTCAAAAGCTCCAGTCTTTGAAACTTTCCAATAGAATTCCAAGAATCCCGAACTCCAAAACGGCTCACTGATGACGACCCCAGTTAATGAAAAATAGCCGTTACATTTTGCCTTTTTCTTCACTTTAAATCCCACATTTCTCTCTATTTCTTTTCTCAGAGACCCAAAAGATCAGTTGTACTTTCTTCTTCATCATCAGTTTGGTTTCAGGCTTTCTGCACAGCTAGTCAGTAGGCAAACTTACTACTAGAACAGCGGAAAATTCTACAATGGGCGTGGTGTATCCATGCGCCCAAAATATCAGCCATTGGATGAGTAAGTGGAGATGAGGGTTAAATCCACACCATTGACTGCTGGTAACCTGTTAAAAGGGTTGGTGCAGGTAAAAGTGAATAAAATAAAAATTAAACAGAAAAAGAAAAAGAAAACAAGAAAAGAAAAACAGAAACAGAAAGGGAGAAGGGAAGATCGTGAACTGCTGCTGAGGCTTCTCCAAGAACGGCACTCTCTCTTTCATCTCTCCCTCTCTTCCCCTACATGTGAATCGCTTGATTCTGGAGATGAATTGAGAAGATCTTAAATCTCGGTGGCTGGGCATTTTGCGTGGTTCACAAAAAATCGGTGGAAACGAGTTGCTGTTGCTGAAACGAATTTAAGTGGCCATTGCAAAGGTAAAATTAATAGCTTTATTATCCTTGTCCATACTTGAGTTCCCAGCTTTTTCTCAGCTTGCATTTTCCATATGAATGGAAATGGGGTCGGTTGGATTGGCTGTTGCAAGATTCTGTGCTTTCCCTACAGCTTTCTATCATTTTCTCAATAATCAAACCCAACAACTCATTGAGTGATTAAGTTTATTAGTTTAAGCATGCACAAAGAGGACACCAAACTTTTCAATCCCGAAAAAAGAACCCCCAAAAAAAAAAAAATCTTTGTATTATAAGCATATATTAAAATGTTGAATTCTTGATGGTATCTCTCTTGTTTAACAAAAATAAAAAATGAAAATGAAAATTTACCACATGATTTTTATTATCCTTGTCCACACTTGAGTTCCCAAAGACCAGCAATATAATATTTTGCTATATTGATCTGCTCAAAGAAAACCAGCTATTTCTATGGGTGATTTTCCCTCTATGAAATCAAGTAATTATGTTATGAAAAGAAAACCAGAAAAACTAAGCAGAAATTAATGCAGCCCAGGAAGCAACAAAGCAGAAGTAAATGGGTTTTTGATTTGCTAAAAAGAAAACCATTGTAATTTGAGTTATTTCACAGACAAGAAACACAATATGATCAATGTCAATATCTTTCTCTTCTTTAATGTTGGGCATATTGTTGATGTTGAAAAGTTTGTGACTCATTCAAAAAACATTAGATAGAATTTATTAATTGTAATGCAAATGGGATGATATTTGTAGCCTTGCATTTTGGTAATGGAAATGTAAGAGGTACTTCAATATATCATTTTGAATCCAATTACCAATTGGTTAGTCCTATTTTGCAATGATTGTATCCATATTTCCATGTTATTGGTAGCCTCTTGCATTTTGAGAACATATGTGATTTGTGAATGCAATTGACAAACAGTTACGTCTAATTGCATTATAGTCTTGCAATTGACAACTAGTTACGTCTAATTGCATTATAGTCTTGCAATTGACAACTAGTTACGTCTAATTGCATTATAGTCTTGCAATTGACAACTAGTTACGTCTAATTGCATTATAGTCTTGCAATTGACAACTAGTTACGTCTAATTGCATTATAGTCTTGCAATTGACAACTAGTTACGTCTAATTGCATTATAGTCTTGCAATTGACAACTAGTTACGTCTAATTGCATTATAGTCTTGCAATTGACAACTAGTTACGTCTAATTGCATTATAGTCTTGCAATTGACAACTAGTTACGTCTAATTGCATTATAGTCTTGCAATTGACAACTAGTTACGTCTAATTGCATTATAGTCTTGCAATTGACAACTAGTTACGTCTAATTGCATTATAGTCTTGCAATTGACAACTAGTTACGTCTAATTGCATTATAGTCTTGCAATTGACAACTAGTTACGTCTAATTGCATTATAGTCTTGCAACTGACAAACAGAATAGTCTCTTTGCATTCTTGTCGCGCAATTGCCATTATATGTGCACAAGTATGAAATGTAGAATCTCTCAGTAAGGACTAATCCTTCATAATTTAATTGTATGTTTATATTTCTACTAAATGCAATTGATGTGTATCCATTTATGTTCATATTAAATATTCCATGGAAGACATGTTGCCTATTTTCAGGAAATGGATGCAGAAGCAAGTAAAACGAATGGAATTCAGGGCCAAAACTCTGTACCTAACAGTGAAGGTTATTTTGCAGAGGCTGAGTCACTTGAAGAAACTGAAAATGCCCCATCTTTACAGATTTTGGACAGTAGAACAGAAGAAATTACTGAGAAAAGCGGACAGTTTGAGTATGATGGGTTGAACTTCCAAAATATGAGCATTGCTGATTTAGCGGAGAGAGAGTTTGCAAAATTTGAGGAAGCAGAAAGATTTTACTGCAACTATGCTCTTGCAATTGGTTTTAGCATAAGAAGAAGTCGATTGAGACGTAGCGAGGGTGGGGTTGTGATGGGAAGACAATGGGTGTGCTCAAAAGAAGGGAGTAGATCAAAGAAATGGACGAATAGAGATAATATGGTTCGTACACCAAGGAAAGAGACTAGAGAGAATTGTCACGCTACATTTGCTGTGAAGTATTGTCCTAAACGGGATGCTTATATTGTGACTAAATTTGTAACGGAGCACAGCCACTGACTTGCTAACTCACGTGAGGTGCCTTTTCTTCGTTCACACAGGTGTGTTACGGAATCTAACATAGCACAATCTATGTTTATGAGAAAAGCCTCTATTAAAACCAATCGGACATACGACTATATGGTTGACCAAGCAGGTGGATACATGAAAGTGGGGTTCACCAGTAAGGATCTATATAACAGGATCGATTTCGAGCGTCGACAAGTAGTATTGGATGGTGATGCAGAAGCAGCAATAAGCTACATGAATGTTGCACCCTTTACTATTTTTCAATATGTGCGCTATTGTTCACAATGTGCACTTGCACGTTTAACTTTGAATAATTTGAATCTATTAATTAGGTTGAAACAAATATTTTCGCACAAAATTCTTTAAATATCAATTTGTATTGTTTATATAGATTTACTACGGTAGTCGATTTATGGTAGGTCATAAAGTTATTACAATGTGGCTTTAAATATGATATAAAAAAATATAAATATAAATAAAGCTCATGACTACCTTACATTATGTCCGACTCACCAGATTAATTTGGAATGTGAGAGGAGTAAGTGTCGTTTGTTACACACGGTTGGCTTGGCTTGGCCTAGACTAAATTTAGTACCATGTTTGTTTCATGTAATTCTAGTCTTAGATGAGATTGCTAATATCTGGCCCACCAAAGCATCTCTTTAGGAAGGGACTACTAAACCCATGTGAAA